GGGGGCCCCGCGGCTGCGCATTCCCTGCGCGCGGGCGCTGCCCCGGCGCCTGCGGCCGGAGGGCTGCCCGGTGTCCTCGAACGCGTCCCTCACGCTCTCTGGGACGGTAGTACGGGAGCTTGGTTCAGTGTAGCCAAATTCGAGGCGCAGGGCGGCGGACACTGGGGAACGTCGCGGCAGGGGCTGGGCGGGGAGGGGAGCTCGCAGTTCCTTTGGCTCAGGGAGCTTATCTGCTGAGTCTCGCAGACCGCATCGGGAAATGGGCCCCCTCCATCGGCCTTTCCCAGAAAAGCTCACCCGCAGCCCCGTCTCCTCTCGTTTGTGCGGGCCTGTTTTGCACCCTGTGGCTGATAAACTGTACTTGAGAGCCACTGGTCAGGTTTAAGCTTTTTATTTTCTTTAAAGTTTTTATTTATTTATTTGAGAGAGAGAATGAGAGACAGAGAGCACGAGAGGGAAGAGAGTCAGAGGGAGAAGCAGACCCCCCACTGAGCAGGGAGCCCGATATGGGACTCGATCCCGGGACTCCAGGATCATGACCTGAGCCGAAGGCAGTCGCTTAACCAACTGAGCCCCCCAGGCGCCCAGGTTTAAGCTTTTTAAAAGGGGAATTTCGCTTTGAGAGTGTCATTCCCCAGGGAGAGCCCTGACACTTAACCTAGGAGAAAATACAGCAGAGACTGTCTCTATACTCCCCCCATCGTCCTCAGAGCACAGGGCCTAGTGTGTAGAAGCTGCTCAATAAATTACTGAATAACTGTTATATAAGGTTACTTAAATTTTTTCCCTTTTCAATTCTCCGAGGAAAACATATCCAAGAGACGTGAACCACTAACAGTATTATTACATCACTCTCTAAGCTACACTATTTTTCATCAATCCTACGATGCCATCGATTTTAAGACTCAATTTATGTACTACAAGCACACACAGAAATCCTGCCAATTAAACTGCGGCATACTGTTGATTGTAAGAAACATCTCAATTTCAGGATTGTTTAAACACGAATACAGACCATCTGAGACTCAATGAAATAGTGTAAAATGTAAAAGTAATTAATACATGTGGCAAAAAATTCTAACAGTTCAAGGATATTCAATGAAAAGTAAAAGTATCTTCAGCCTCATCTTCTAAGAATCACTTATCCATGATGATTATGGATATGGAAAAGTTTCTGTCCATCATTCAAGAATTTGTATCCACATACAAGTATATATATGTATGTATCTCCTTAAAATATGAATGGGATAATACTATAAGGATACTTTTAAGTTTTAACTATTTCAGCGGTGGAAGATGTTAACCATTTTACAAAACTGAAGTTTAAAGAACACTTTTTTGCTTAGTTATTAGAACAATGCACAGAGAGCAGCTGAAATGCATGGTTCATTCTTTGTGCATATTAGCTAGATTAAAGCATCCTTAAGAGTGGGGCTGAGATACAGTGAACAAGGGTGGAGAGTGGAACAGAATGAGGCATTTCTTCCTCACTTTAGTGTTTTCTGTAAGTTGGGGATTGCTCATTGAGCAGCCACCAAAAACCTACCTTCAGAAACAGTGGTTTTAACTTTTATCACACACGGTGCAGATTCCTGAACGTCATCCCAGAACTATGAAATCAGATTCTGTATTTTTTTTTAAAGATTTTATTTATTTATTTGAGAGAGAGAGAATGAGAGACAGAGAGCACGAGAGGGAAGAGAGTCAGAGGGAGAAGCAGACCCCCTGCTGAGCAGGGAGCCCGATG